TTATTTTATTTCTCTTTCAAAATACAAACATCAGAAGAGTGCTAACCATTACAATTCAACTTGGACAAAACAAGCAAATCAACAACCCGCCTTTATTAAATTCTTAATTCCCCCCTCAGTTAGAAGTCTTTTTCTAACCTCACACATCAGATCCAATCCTGGTGGGAGAGGTCATGGGGGAGCTATGCAGAGACTGGGACTGCTGATTCCTTCTGCACTTTGACTGCATGTATCCAGATAGGCCACTGTCAAATTTTACCTATTTACCTGGTCCCACTACAATCTTGCAGCAACCTCAAAAGGTAGAGGATGGACTGTGTTGAGTCAGCTCCTGGCAGGAACTTCCCTTCCAAAGTAAAAATAGAAGAGGAAGATGGACTCACAATCCAATGTTTTTTTTTAAAGAGGAATCTGTGTGAGCTGCCAGAATGCCACGTGAGCAGCAAATGAGGAATACCCTTCCTCCTCCTCCTCAGTCCCCTCCAAACAATGGGATGATTTACTGTCTGCAGCTTTTCCCCAGTCAGCCTCTTTGGTTGGGGGTAGAGCAATGCAGGGACTGAAGGAGTTCAACTGTGTCTCCTTTTCCTGACAGAGTCCTGGCAGTGGCTTCTGCTTGCAACCCTCCCACCACTGAACTGCCTCTTCAGGTGAGGGAGTCCATAGGGTTACACAGAGCAAGTTGCCTTGTCCATCCAGATGTACATATTTGGATTTAAATAACGATATAAAATACTACAATGGGTTGGCTAAAAGACATGCTTGTTGGTATGTCCTACACCTTCCTATACCATCTTGGGTGCAAAAAAAAAATCATTATGAAAAGCATGTACAGATAAAATAGCACTGAGTATAAGTGGGGCTGCAACAATGTGGGGAGCTTGCATGGACCTTTTGCTCTGGAAAAGTTTCACCCGTGTTGGAGTGTTTAGAGTCCATGAACTATTCTTTTTAAATCAAACATATTTTTAGAAGAATTCCTAAATTATTCTCAAATATATATGTTGCATAGTACCTATCACAAAGTATCCTGATTCTGAGTAAGAGCCTTTGGCTGCTATTCTAACACAAATAACTATCTTTATTTCAGAGTGGCTGCTCCTAACATTTTGTCTCCAGGTTTTAAAGGGGTAATCAGGTTTTCATAGGTCGTAGCCCTAAGCGGTCATTCATATGTCCATTTACCACACTTGCACAACCAATTGTGGTAACTGTGCACACAGTTACATGCATTTCAGAAAAACTGTGCCTTAATATTTTTTTGCCTAATAAAATACTGTATGCAATAGATTCTTTTAAAATTTCAGATAACAGAAAATTAAACTGAAAACTCCTGAAACCAAACACTGTTGTGATGCAGTCATAAGAGGATAAAGACACACTAAACAAATCAAGTGGCAACAAAACATTGACAACAGAAAAACAGAAAAGGTGAAGGGGAAACAGAAAAGGTGAAAGGGAGGGATAGCTCAGTGGTTTGAGCATTGGCCTGCTAAACCCAGAGTTGTGAGTTCAATCCTGGTGGAGGCCATTTGAGGCAAAAATCTGTCAGAGAGTATGGTACTTGGTCTTGCTGTGAAGGCAAGGGACTGGACTTGATGACCTTTCAAGGTCCCTTCCACTTCTAGGAGATAGGCAATCTCCATTAATTTTATTTTTATTTTAGATGGAAAACTCTAATCTACAAAATGAAAACATAAATGAAATAAAACATACTGACAAGTGAGGTGCAAAACTGAAGATGTTCCAGCAGAAAAGTTCTTGTGGAAAACCTCACCATTTTTGGCTACTTCTGCTATGATGTTAGCTACTTTTGCTGGGCAGGAAGATTGTGGAGTCAACAGACTTGCAAACACCGGAAGAATTCCACTTTTTTGGATTTTTTCACTTGTCTCCGTATCTGAAAAACATATAAAACCAAAAAAGTCACTTGCATCATAACGTACAGCTTTTTTTTAAAAAGAGGGAAGAGAAAATTTTGAAAATGCACATGCACAAAAATTTAATGTAAATCTAGACATTGCTTAAAGGCAAGTCTCATGGCAACTACTTTGCTACATACAAGGCAGAGGTTGATCTAACAGTGTTCATCTAACAGTGCATATCTAATAGAGATGGACAACCTATGGCCCATTGCCCCCTGGCTGCTCCCCTCCTCCGTGTGCCTCTTACTCACCGGGGCACCAGAGTCCCACGCTTCCTGCTCCTCCAACCTCCCTCCCAGCAGTTTCAGAGCACCATGAATCACTTGATTCACTTCCTATCCCTGTTCCTCACCTTTCTTGCACAGCAGTCCTGTTCCAGAACGGGGGGGACGGGGGAACAGGGATGGAGTGTGAATCAGGCGAATCACGTGCTCTGAATGTGCTGAGAGAGAGCGGGAGAAGCAGGCGAGTGCAGGGCTCTGGTGTGTGAGAGCACATGGGGAAAGGGAAGTAGGCAGGCGGAGGGGTCATGGGACTGCGGGTGGAAACCCAGTGGGCTGTGAGCTGCTGTGGCCCACTGAAGTAAGGGAGGGCTACTCATGAAGCCCACCCACCATTCCTGTTTTCCCATCACTGATCTAAGACAATGTTTCAAAGCACTAAATATCAGTTCATATTTCTAAGGCAACTGTGTGGTAACTAAAAGTTTAGGATCATCCTCATTTGAAAAACAGATGGGGAAACTAATGCAGAGAGGGATAAGACAAAATCCTGATGAAAGTTTAGAGCACAAAAAGGTCTGTGGCAGTCCAACATCTTCAGGCAGGTCTATGCTACCGGTTAACTTGATCTAGCCTACATTGCTCAGGGGTGTTAAAAAGACACCGCCCTACTGTCCTCCAAGAGATGCAAGTTACAGAGACTCACGTGCTGTCCACAACAGCAGACACTCTCCTGCTGACATAGCTTCTGTCTCCTGAGGGATGCAGCAATTATGCCAACAGGAGAATTCTCCCCCAACCTCACAGAGTTTCTTCACCCAACATGCAGATGTGCCAATGTAGCACCTCTAGTAGAGACTGCTCAATGTTACGCTGAACAGGTGGTAAACAGAGCTGACCAATCATGGGGCAAGTCCACTTTGTACAAAAATAGAGGTGGAGGAGACCCACTCCTCTTGGAGAGCCATGTAGTCAATGCACGAGTCTGGAAGTATGAGGAAAGGAGACAGAGTATGTAGACATTGGTCTTCTCTCACTCTCCAGACACACTGGTGTGCTGGGAATTACTGTGCTCAGGCAGCAGTACGTACTCTTCGACTCCAGGGGCGAGGGCAGAAGAAATGAAACTGGATCTCTATGCTGAGTTAGGATCAAGTGTGTCAAGGAGGACTCTTACCTTTACATCTAGTGGTTGAGGGACATCTGTACACTGACAAGGCCCACCTTCCATTTTTGGATGATAATCTACTCTCAGAATTGAAAAACATCGGTAATCCTCAAAGGGATTAAAGCAAGAGGTACTACATACTAAGTATGTGTTCTTTCTCTATTGTCAAAGGTTTTTACATTTCAGATTAACATAAGTACAATATCCATATGATTAGAGGGCAGTTGTTATTTTGTCATTTTATAAATGCAACAGGACTTTTGTATTTCATCATTCATGCTACAAGTTACTGCATCCTCTAAGAATGTCAGTTCAGATGCAGTAATTGATTTTCTTGTGCAAAGCAGAACAAATCTATCTGAACTCAATTTGCTGTTTTAAATCTCTCCCTCTCTCTGGCAGGGTGGCGGTGTCTTGTAAATGCTACAAGTTATGCAACCACAGACGCTGGCTTCCAACTTTCCCTGGGGGTACTCAACCCCTGATCAGCCCAGGCCCCCCCTCCACTCCAGACCCCATCACCACTCCTCCCTTCCTGCTCCCAGTGTCTCCTGCACACCACAAAATAGCTGGCTGAAAGATTCAGGACAGAGGGGGAATAATTGATCTGCAGGCCACATGTGGACAGGAGATGCTGAGGGAGGGACAGGAGGGGAGCTGGGCTGTTGGTGGGTGCTCATTTTTTTTGCTGCATTTAACAGGGCTGGGGCGCCCTCGGAGTCAGCTATGCATGCAACCTTCTCACATCACTTCAAAACACTTCTTGTCAATACCAGGAGAAACTGGGGGTTGGATATGAGGTATAAACCAGTCTTGTAAGTAAGGGGGCATCTCACCACAGCTGAAGGTCTGACTCAGCACAAGTAGACCTATCCAAGCTAGCTTCAATCTAGCTGGCAGGGCTAAAAATAGTAGTGAGGCTGTGGCAGCATAAATAGCGACCTGAGTAAATAGCAGGATATCAGATAGGCTTGCACAGCTCATGCTAGCTAGACCATGTGCTGTTGCCACATCTTCATGGCTATTTGTATCAGAGCTAACTAAGTTAAAGCAGCACAAGCTGCAATCTCACAGCCTGAATGCAATGGTAAGTGTAGGATGCTTAAGAGTTGAGCAGAGAGTTAACTAAATACTATCAGCTGCAATTTCCCTTTCATCACCCTCTATCCACATTGGCTGCTGCAAGTAAAGCAACAGAAGATGTCCTAAATTAAGTGAGGTAGGACAACAATAATAATAACTGCACTTTGCATTTAATATCATGCCTTTCAAATCAGGATCTCAGATTGATGGGGGGTATTGTCTTTAAATGGGGAAGTGAGGGCCGTGAATCCTAAGTAGAGCTGGTCAGAAAAGGAGTCAATTTTTTTCATGAAAACTTAGGGGGTCCCCCAACCAAATGTTCTACAGGCCATAAATTGGTAACCTCTAGGTTGGGAAAGAAGAACTCTGGATCTGGATTCTGTCTTTGTCACTGACTTGCTATGTATGACCTAGAAGTCATGCTCTGCCTCAAAGTCCTTATCTATAAAATGGTGACAACATCTGGTTATTACTGAACAGGGATTCATTAACTAATATTTTACAGCACTTTCAACAGCAACATATGAGATAAGTGCTACTTATTATTAATCTATTTACAGGCTTACAAGTTGTGAGTTTTCAGATATGCTGAGGAACCTAATATCATCCCAACAGAAGCTTAAAGATCCATTTAGAAGACATTACAAATGACTAAAGCACACACTTGGCAGGTAAGTTTTCGAATAGTTGCATGGATGAAAGAGATGATTTACATACACACAAAAATGCTCATCACTGATAAAAAGAGTTCCAGAGAGTAGTTTCATTTGTATCCATGGGATAACAGTCCTCTTTGATTTCAGCAACTGAAGTAGAGTTCTACTGATCCGTTTAATGTTAGCCACAATTAGTATGCAGGAGGCGTTAATGTGGTTTCACTTGCCACATTACTGAGATATACAGTATCCAGTCTTATTTTTACAGCCTTCAGTTTGATGGACTCATTACTGTGCAATGCATAAATTACAAAAATAGAATAAAATACATCCTGCATCCTGCAAGAAGTGAGGGAAATAAATTAAATGGTGCTCCAGGCAAGTTATGTGCAGCAAATACACTCTGATTTATTTTATTGAGATAAGCAAGTGAGTGCCAATAAAATTACACTCGTCAGCTCATTAGACTTGGGCTGGAAATCTAAGTATCAGCAGGAGTGAATGAAAACAGAAATGGGTCTTTTTCTTACTAATCAGCATTATTGAAACCACTACCACATCTCCTCCCCCTTTCAGAACCCAAAATGCCTTCCCCTGCTTCCTCCCCTTCATACACTGACCCCCATCACCTAGGTAGAGTACTGACACTAGGATTTCTCAAGCACAAAGACAATGGTAGGGACTAGTTAGCATGTCCAGCAGTACTTCCAAGCTACTGGGGGCATGGCCATGCCTGCCATTCCACCTCACCTTGCTAGTAGCTGACAGCAAGCACTGTGGGAAATACATGTTCTACTTTCATGGACAAGTGGAAGGAAGGCTCTACAATACACACTACTTATAGCACACCCTGTGGCACTTGGCCTGCAGCTGTCTGATAGAGAGTCGTAGAGCATCTCCAATCATCCACTGCAACTCTGAGCAGAATCCACCCTCAGTGCTCCTCACAATTTAGCTCATTGTGCAGAGCACATAAACTCACCTGAAGTCAAGTCGAGAGCACTATATTGGGATAGTATATTTAAGGAGAAAACTTATTGATCTTGTGGCATCTGATCAGATGGTGAAAATGAAAGTGCATTAGTACACACTGCTCTGTATTGTTATCAAGCAGAACCCACGACTGATGCATGTCCTCTGGAACAGTAGTTGAAGAATAAAGGGGTATCTGACTCTTTAGCATATCTGGCACGTAAATATCTTGCAATGCCAGGTACAACAGTGCCATGTAAAAGCCTGTTCTCACTTTCAGGTACATTATAAACAAGAAGCAGGCAACATTATCTCTTGCAAATTGTAACCCAACTTATCTGAGTGACTGGCAGAATAAGAAGTAGAATTGAGTGGACTTGTAAGCTCTAAAGTTTTACATTGTTTTGATTCTGAATACAGGATTTTTTTGTATATAATTCAGTATTTGTAAGTTCCACTTACGAGATTGCACTAGAGTACTTGTATGAGATGAACTGAAAAATACATTTTTGTTTTTTACAGTAAAAAAATTTGTAATAAAAAATTAAAACAGTAAACACTGTATTCTTTGTTATAATTGAAATCAATATATTTGAAAATATAGAAAATATCCAAAATATTTTAAATAAATGGTATTCCATTATTGCTTAACAGTGCAATTAAGTGACTAATTACAGGCAGTTCCCGGGTTACATGGATCCGACTTACATCGGATCCCTACTTACAAACGGGGTGAGGCAACCCCGCACTAGCTGCTTCCCTCCAGCAGACCAGGGAGATGCGAAGCGAGAGGCCCCCTCTCCCTCCCCCCCAGCAGACCAGGGAGACGCAGAGCGGCTTTTCTCAGCAGACACCTCAGCTTGAGAATAAAGGAC